CAATGCAATTGACGCTTTTGCAAAACACAGAAGTGTTATAATTGGTAAAAGTACTTCCAATCAACGAGTTGAACGTTGGTTGGGCTCTTTACGACAACAAGATTTACAGTGGTGGCTCAGCTTTTTTTAAAGACTTGCGTGATTCTTGACGATATGATAAACTCGACCCAGTCCATTCTGTTAATCTGAAATTTTGCTTCATGGATCTAATTCAAACACACCTTGATCGAATTGCTCAAAACTGGAATACTCACGTTATTAGACCCCAAAAGAATAACGAGCTCAATTATGGAAAACCTGACGTAATGTTCAATTTACCAGAACTATTTGATTGTCAAGTTTCGGTACAAATGTTGATATACAAGACGTAATTTGTTGTCAACGAATGTATTCCATTCCGAAGAACAGAAATAAAGACTTTAAAGAATTGGCTCAACTCTTGAAACCGGATTTACAAATGGCACATGACACTGAAACGGCATTGCAATTGTTTTTCGAGCTCAATGAATTGGTAAGGTTAGCAGACTACCTGCGACTAAAACAACAATGCAACACGACTACACAGCTGTAAATATATAAATAGCTACTACAAATGTATGTAATTATGTCTCCACAACACTGTCAAACTGTGTTGAAATAGTTCGTCACCGCTTTGTTCTTTCTACATGGATGGAGGATTTTGAAATAATTTAGCACAAATGTTCACCATCATAAGATGTGTCCCAGTATAAGACACATTTCTGCACTGAAGGTCAAAGTCACATTTAGAGGTTAAACATCCACTTCTATATGAATGAGTTGGTTTGAAATAACTTGGCACAAATGAACACCATCACGAGACGAGGTGTCGCTATAAACAGCCGCATCCCTGAGTTGAAGGTCAAGTTACATGGACAGATTATAACTAATCTGTTATAACTTCTTTATTATTTAAGCCAAAGCCTTGATGTTTTAACAAAATTTCATTTGGACAAAAGCAGCCTTCGTCTGAAATGTCAACATTTGGTGTTGACCCATACTTGACATTGACCTTTATCATTAAAGGTTAGAGATGTGTCTGCAGACCGGGTATATCTTCTTACGATGGTGAACGTTTGTGCCAAATTATTTCAAAATTCCTCCATCTAATGTACATAGATGATACTACTGAACCTATTCCGGTAACTACCGCTATATCGCACTCAGTGGTGCCGAGCGATCTGCCATCCAGTGGAGAAACCGGTACTCCTACAAGGCTAGGAAGATAAACAGAGACAGCCCTTTTCTGTGGAACATTAATAGACTATCCTCATTGATAATCGACAGTGATTTCGTTTCTTTTTTGATCAATTATGATATTATTCTTATGTTGATATATACAACTTTTGTTTATGTCCGCACCTCAAATTCAATAAAATGGCTAAACGTCATAGTAGTAGCGTACTTATATATACACTTGTACATGTATTCGCAATAAATATTTCAATCATGACAATAATGAGCTTGGTGTTTTGGATTAATCACAAGAAACTCAAAACTGGAACAGTCAATGACATTTAATTGTGTTTTGCATATAAACATACGAGAATTGCAGATATGGCTTATTTCGAGGGATCACTTTGTTTCGAGATTTTTATTACCATGGCGCGCCCAAGTATGCTGTTGTAAGATTGTTGATGTAATCTGTTTAAAAATATATACATGTAATTGGAAATCCATCAATCAATGTGTCTGACCAAATTTGACAGACAAGTCCCAATCCAAACAACATATGTCATTTGTAGTTTATCTTACAACATGACGATGACTTTAGGTCAACTGACAAGTTTAATTATAAATGTATGTCTAGAACAAAGTTCGCCCGTGCCTGCTCCTGTCTCATTAAAAAAAGTACAAAGTATCCGAGTCTCTTTAAATTGTTTTCAAACAGATAACATCAACAATATTCAAACAGCAGATGATGATGCGACATGGTAAGTAATGCCTGCCACACATATTTTAAAGTAACAAAGTCGATGGTCAGTGTCTCAGTACCGAACCAAAGTGTATATATATTAGAAAGTTTGAATGCTTAAGGTCAAAGCACTTAGATTATATGACCATTTAAAGTCTTTGTACTTGTTGGTCATCATTACCTAGACCTTTTGACCATTAACAGAATAATGGATGTGGTATGTAGAACTCATGAAGGTGCATTTACATATAAAGTTTGAAGGTCCAAGGTCAATGGGTCAATGTCACACTTAGAGGTCAAAGGTCAAATTGTGGTGTGATGTTTCGTGTCTCGAATAAAAGTCATTCACTGATGATTGGATTTTCATATAACCTGGCAAAAATGTTCACTTCTACCAGATGTCTTGACATCACACAGATTCCTCGCTTCAAGGTCAATGTCACACTTAGAGGTCAAAGGTCACATTTTTGTAAAAGATTTTGTTTAAGGAGTAAATGATGATGGGATGTTCAAATAGCCTAGTCAAATTTCCACTATAAATAGACGATGTGTTGCACGCCCAGGTCCCTCTTTCTATGGCAAAGGTCTCAGAGGCCAATTCATGAATTGTCAAATTGTGGTGCATTTTTGTGTCATGTTGGCACGGCATCATGGGCAGTAGTATGTCTCACATTGGCATGTAACTTCCTCAATGAGGTACATGCAAAGGTGTTTTTGGTTGCAAAGAAAAAGACCTCAAAGATTTCACTTTTATTTCTGAAACTAATTGTTTCATTTTTTTAAACTATAGAAGGAACACATAAGCAAAGCAAGGGATGTTCGAAAATTATTGCCACATGACCTTTTTCTGGAAAACCAATAAAGATATTATAAAGATTTGTTTTGCACATTTAAGAATGTTCTTTCTGTTGAAGACTACGCATTTTTTTCTTTCTTAAATCTTGCAGATAACCATTTTATTTTTTGCCCAGTATATAAACCATACCCACTACTGATATGAATTGCTGATATAACATCGTGCATTGATTTTCGCAATATTATATGGTTGTAAAGCACGAAGATAAATGACTAGCAAATGCAATAAAACTTTTTATAACATCTCATTCTCTAAAAGTTTTCCAGAAAAAAGTCAAGTTACAACACTTTCCGAACTACCCTCGTTATATTGGACCTTACAACGACCCATACAACTACACCTCCCTTCTTTCCAAAAATAAGGACATATACCATTGTCTCTCCTCTTTACTAAGATTTTGCTGATATTTACTTATTATCACTATCAACATAAAATCCAAAAAGTTGTTCAATTATTGTTAAACTACATACGATGATCAAACAATGACAAACAACGACGATAACAAATTAAATTACGGTGCATAGCATAAGCTTATGTTACTACATGTAAAATAAATGTTGTTTTAAATAAGTTGTATGCAGTGTGTACGTTTGAAGAAAAAACTACACACCCAAAGCTTAGTTACATGAATATCTATAACTGTGCATGCACCTTGTGAAGAAACCTAGTAGTTTACATAAATCTGAATCTGTTTAGCAATAGTTAACTAAAGGTTACACTCTCATAGGTACTTTATAGGAAAGATGATCAGACACACTGTCACCACATTAAAATTAAACAAACGCAATCTATAACAAATCGAGAAAAGTACTTAAAACGTAGATTATATTAAAATTAACTGATACAATTCAATGAACAAAAATAATCTATGTAAAAACTCGTTCTCTGCCATATTTCATTCAAAAACGCGCCGAACTATCATGTTCAACAGACAAGTCAAAAGTCAAAAGTCATAAGTCACAAGTCACAAGTCAAACGTCATAAGACACAAGTAAAAAGGGCAGGTTTATGCTTCCATAGAAACATGTACTAAATCTAATACATATTAACAATACATTTATTTTGTATCGTTCCTGACCCCACACCCCCCAGAGTTACCAAAATAAAGGTCAAAATGTACAAAAATAGCACTTTCTGCGTTAGTCGCGCAGTAGAAACGTGGGGATAAGTTCTGCAAAATCAATCATTTATTGCACATCGCATCATTAATTATTGCTTGCATTATGATTCTTTTAGTTTTTTATGAGCTTACCTCATTTTTTTGTTTCAAAATTCATTTTCTTCGAATGATTATATGCTTAAATCTCGCCTTTTCACCTAACGGAATGAACTTTAAAACGTCTTATTCATTTTTTTTCTTCAAAATTACAAAGTTTATTTTCTTCGAATGTTTTCGTTCATCTGGAGGCATGCAGCTTTAGAGACACATTATGCCTCAGAAATGAATAAATATTTCATTCTTTAGATAGGGCAATTTTATAACCATAAATAACGATTTTAAAGCATATAAGATATTTTTCTTCTGAAATAAGTAGCGCTGTATACGATAATATTTTTCATATTATTTGTCATAAAAGTAGGAAAATGTAAATAATGTATAGTATTTCAAGTTCAAGATTAAATTGCGAAAAAGCAACAGAGCAAAAATGGTTCAGGTAATTGGCCAGTGAGTAACTCTATGGAAACTATAGCAGGACACCAGAAATAATTTATTTTTTGAGAAATAAACACAAAAGCATTTCCGGTGCATAATGGGCCTTTAAATGTAAGCTATAGGAAAGTCGGTAAGAGGGTATATCAAGCTAAATGGTTTTTGTAATGATTATTGACCTGTTTACTATGCTTTTGAAGATTTAAATAAAAAAGAATTCATAAATAACTTTTAAGTACATGCATTACAAATTATTTACATAAAAAACTACATTGACTTGATGACCTCAGGTTGGTTAAAATCATGTACATCAGATTGATAAAAATATGTAATTACTAATTCATTAATTACTATGATCAATTGATTATTGATTTTTATTTAAAGATAGATCTTATTTTAACAAACACACTTACGTAAATCAGTGGTAAACTAAGGGAAATGCTTGCATCTTCCCGTTTAAAGGATAGGAATTTCCTCTTCCGTACAAAGTTAAAATACATATAAATATACAGCCTTTGTTGATCGACAGTAAAATCAACTTGTCGTCCAACTTGGCAATACCAAAGTTAAAAAAAAAAAGAATTACCAAAAATATCAACGCCTTTCTCAACTTCTGTAGCATCTTAAAAATACAACAAGTAAGTAATTTACATGTTGTTTCATTAAAATGTTTGGTCAAATTTAAAAACAAGTCATATAAAAGTTAAAAGGATGATTTTCTTTTAATTGACGTAATTTATTGATGACTAGATTTGGCAGCTTTAATACTATTTATTATTATGTACAAAATAAAATATAAACACTTAAGTTGTATTCATCCATCAAACTTGATAAACACTTCTTAAATGTGTCCATACATATTGTTCAGATTGAAATATGTAAATTAACCTATCAAATGCTAAATATCTTAATTGGACATGTCCATCTTTCAGTATGGGCAAAACCATTTATCAATATTAGGGATTTTTTTGCACTGACTGAATAGCGAACAGTGCAGACCATGATCAGTCGGCACAGATGTGACGCTCAATTATGGACTGCACCGGTTGCATTGGTAGAATCTGTTGTCGACAACGGGTATGTACATGAATTGTTACATATTTTTCTACATCAAATACTTCCTTTTCTGGTCAGCTAAATTCTATAAGTTTTCACTTTTCTAGAGTATGAACAAAATGGTTTATTTGGGATGTTTGGCTCTGGCCTCATGTGTTGGTATGGCTCTTGGTTACGGAAGTGTAATGACTGGACAGAAGGTCACAGGCTATCCATACATGGCTAACATGGGATATGGGTATGTTCCCTATATGACCCCCAACTCAGGGTTCGGCGGATTCCTCGGTGGGACCGGAAGCTCTGCAGGAGGCATGGGAATGTTTGAAAATATCATACAATGTATGTATTAAATTCCGTTTCATATTTTCATATCTGACGAGTAAATAGAATATATTCTATATTGCTTGAAGTAAAATGACAGATGTACTATCAATAAAATAGTTACTGTTAGTTAAAAATGACAACTAGAATGCACATTACTAGTATTGAGAATCTACTACTACAAATTTGTTTGTTAAAATTAATTCCTATTGTGTCCCTAAAATTTGAAATGTGACAGCTTTGTAGAAATTTCAAACCTTGTACTTACTAAGACTTACAAACCAAAGACAATGCGTGTTCTTATTGTACGTGTTCTCTTAAACTTTAAACTTCACCAAACAGGTACGAATTAATCTAAATTTAAGTTTTTCATGTGTTCTTATTGTGTTCTCCTACACTTTGAAGTGTTTTTGTTTATCTTTGTGATAAACATCTTGTTCTCGAGCACAGGTCTAGGCTCCGGGGGTCTCGGTATCGGCAAGATATCATTACACGCAGTCTCTGATTACGACTATTATCTAAAATAATTACAAGGTATGTAAACTTGGCATTCAATATTAAAACATAGATTATTAAACCTTATTCCTCTTCAACTTGATATGCCGTTATTCTTAATAAGGGATTGTCTGAATCAAACACGTGGAACTTTTTGTGGATTTTTGGCTTCTTGAAGACAAACTTTTATAACAAAGATTTACTTCAGATTCTAGTCTTTTAGTTTGTGTTCATGATGCACTTTTTACTTTATTTATTTCAGAAAGAGGAAGGAGAGTTAACTGTTGAAACGTTTACCACCAAATTTTACTGATCTGTGATCTTTTTGTGTTTTCCTCTCAATATTGCAAAAATAACAATAAAAAAGTTGTAAAACATTTCTTTGCGTATTTTATCAATGTTGCTAAGGGACACAACTACTACACTTTATTTGATTTACACGAGTTATTTCCCTTCCCAAATGACCATCCTGTATAAATCAGAACGTAGTTACAAACTTTTAAAACAGGTTTAAATATTAAAGATTAAAAAAGAAATAACAAAAAATATGAAAAACAGAAATCATTATTACAGTTTGGAAAACTCGAGTTACATTCTGAATCATGTATACTGGCTGCCTAATTTGTCAAGATACTCTTCCACATAAAATCAACTAAAACATCAACATATTTCATTACAGCTAATACATATAAATAGTAGTAAAATTTGCAGTGTCCACGAGATAACGGTTGTTATGTTTCACTTGACACAGTTACACACCGTACAATCAAATGGGTAGAAAACCGTTGAATGCGTCGACAGCCGTACTAGCATAAACTGACTGACTGTGTTCGGGTAAATCAATGTTATTGAGTAATTGTTAACATCTAAAGGAGCCTGCTAACAAATTTCTGGCCCTGTGCAAGCTTTACTTTACGTGAATTTTGATTGAAAATAACCACACATTCCGACGAGATGTGGCAGTTTTAAAAAAGTCATAAAAACTTACCTTTTCTCATGATAATAAATAGTTTTAAGATACGAATAGTAAACGTCAACACTTTGTCATTAAATATAACAAACCATATCTTCAAAAATGCTTTTCTTTTAAAGATATAGGGTTTTTAAGTTTGAAAGTCTTCAAAATTTGAGTAACGTCATCAACCGTTCGCCTCTATTGAATAACATCGACATCCACTCATCAGCCAGAAAAAAACAACGCTGAAAACCGTTCAACGAAACAATTTTTAAGACTTTTGTGCTTTAGTAACTAGGAAAGAGTAAAACATTTTTGTTCATTTAAAATATAGATTAATTCATGGTTTTCAAATCCTCATTGAAAGTGTTCAGAATATTCTGGGTTAGTAAGAACAAAGGAAAAAGGTTCAAATCTTGCGATAATTATTGATAATAGCCGAGATGTTCCTATTGGTCAGACATGTATATTTTGTGAAGTGGAAACATTAGGTAGCCCCGTGCCCTACAAGTTCATATTTCTTTTGTACAATTATTTATAATTGTATTATGTATATATAAAGTCAGACCAGTCTACATATTTAAGTGCAGTAAGGTCGACTATTATTTTAGCAGTTCTTGTTAGTATACATGTAAGTTATTGATTTGTAATCTTCAACAGTTTTGATTATATTTTTAAAAAATACATTTTTAAGCTCTTGGCAAATTAGGAAAAGAAAGACAAAGTTGTTTCTGGTGAAAAAATTTTTTTTTTCTTGTTATGAATTAAAAACAATCAGACAGAAAATAAACAATTATTTTATATAAATAAAGTAATGTCAAACAATCCAGCAAAATGTTGCACTCAATTACTAAACAATCTCCTACGCTTCCCTCCAGCGCCATTTCTCAACCAATCAGCATGAACGCAGACACAAGTATCGGAACTACTTTTCAGACCGGAAGTGACATCATCTTTCATATTATCCTCAAAGCCTCGTTTCCGCTTTCCAAGAGTGATATTTGTGTCACTGGAAGACATCTTTGGCGAGATGTCAGTTACAAATTTTCTGATATGAATTGGATCATTCAAACTAAAACCGCATAACTCTGGCTCGGGATGGCTCGTGCTTTTATTCAGCCATTCAGCGACACTCGCAGATTTTCCTTTCTCCCTATGAGTAGATACATGTAGATGTGGAAGCTCGTTCAAAGCAAGGATCAGTTTGAGAAGCTTAAGTCTGGTTATGAAGTCTAGCTTGTCTGCAAATGAAATAACCCCATTTAATAACATTCATTGTTTCACTGACGAAAACGATTTTAAGGTATGACTTCTCTAACGGGCACTATAAGGAACTGAAAACTTGACGACACAGGTAAGTATTATGCATTACAGGACACCTGCATGCAAAATTTGAACAAACATTTATATGGTAAACGAGTTATGGTCACTTTTCTGAACTCAAGCTTTGATGCTAGCTTTGTCAGAAATGATGAACCTTTAAATAATCTACAATATCGTCCTTATGAAAAAAGTTTCCCATTAATTATTGTTAAATAATTACATTAGTTAACAATCTACGCAAGACAATGATTCTTTCTACACAAAATTTATGAAATATGTATACAAATTAATATGTATGAAAAATGTAAAAAAAAATGTATAAAAATATTCATCAATCATACATATAATTTTGGAAACAAATACTTTTTAATTTGATAATTTTGACGAAAAGGCAAAACGCGTTTAACTTGTATCTTATTTTCAACCGATATTTTACGTCCGCAAATTTATTCTTGAATAGAACTATATAATTACATTTTCACAAAATACGAAGTTTTTCAACTATTGCTTACTTTGATATGTATGTAACATGCTATAGGCCTCCTCTAAAAGTTTGTCTACTTTTGTAACAACGTCGAAATTAAATCCATCTCTTACATGCACGACCTTTCCGTGTTCTGAAGAAAGTATACATGTACATTTAATTTAGTAAATTAATTGATTGTTTGAAATATTAACATTCTTTAGAAAAAGTTAAAGATAAACGTGTGTAATATTTTTTGCAAGAGAAAATGTATTTGAGAGTTATGATAGATCTACATGTAAATATGACTAATCAAAATACCTTCTAACTTTCTCTCTTCGGCTGTTGAAAACTTTTCTGATATTCGCTGAAGGTCAAGGACGTCAAGGTGTTTGGAAGCTTGGAAAATTTGGCAAATATTCCTTGTATTCGATTTTGCCTCGGCTTGCAAATATTCAACGTTGCCCATCTGCATTGGATGTTTTTCTTCTCTAAATGGCAAAAGGGCAGACGAATTTACATATTCGGAAGACTTCGGATGAATAGGAACAACGTTTACATCTGAAGGGTTTGCCGTGTCTGCTTTGTTATGTAGATGATCATCCTCGATTGTTGACGGACTTTCTGAATCCTCGTAGTCCAGCGCTGTACCAGACTGATGGGAACAATTTAACAACAGTCCTGCAATAGATAAATAAAATATCAAATATCAGTCATTCCGGAAGTCCGTGTATATTTAATATCATAAAAAATACCATTGATGAATTTATTAACTTATCTGACAATGCTTACATCTACATCATACTGCTTAACAATCAATTCTAATCAAATCAATCTTACTTTCGGGGCCTTACCAGACGGTTATCTCAAACCCTCGGAATGATTCATATTTAGAAAGAAAATAAAAAAATACGTATTTTTAAAGGCTTGATTAATAATATTTACTACAAATCTTTAATCATGAAATTGAAATAATATAGTGGCCTAACAGTTAAACTGCCTGCCTCTCAACTTAGGGATTTTGGATCGTGAGTTCGAGCCGAAACCTTGTTACAAAAATTCTTTTTCTGCAAACCTTTCATTTATGCGGTAATTTCCAAGGGAAATTTTTCTATTTCGTTGACGTAAAAGTGCCAATTTTAGCTTCTATTGCAGGTCCAAAAATGTTAAACGGCGATTAAATGAGATGATGTTATACTCAAGTATTTGTATATAATTCTGGTTCAGGGTAATAATCTTTACTCGACAGGCGACAGTAAGTCACTTAGTCATCCATAATAATTGTCATTGGGTTTATTTTATTCCCTGTTGAAATCATTTCGTACAAATTACCAAGTGTATTTCTACAGGTCTATGCACATAAACTGATTAATATAAAAAATAAAAATATTAAGAAGAAACTTCAATTGCAAGGAAACTTGGCAGGCAAAGACAATTCGAAGCATTTCATTTTTATAATATAAATGTATTATATATCATAATACAATTCACGTATACATTTAAAAAATAAACTTAGAAAATGTAACTAAATTTTATTTATTTCGATCCAATTCGTAGCGTAAATTCAAAGACTACGAAATAAATATAACTGTAAAATATTCATCTTTATAACTGTTTTCTCCTCTTATATTAGAATCTAGTGTTTGTGCCATCATCAGTCGTTGTCATACAAAATATGAATAAAACATCATCTGTCTTACTTTTGAATGCGCGCTGTTTGTAACTATGATACATTTGACGGTCTGTGACGTCACGTGTCTATGACGTAAGAGAAATTTTATTGCACAATATCCATGACGTCGGAGATAAGATGTGATTGATACCAATTAAATGTGCCTTAAACAACTTGCGTCTAGAAGATAAGTTGTACAAATATTAGAAACATATCTTCAAATATAGTGACTTAAAATTGTCTTTATTTATGACGTTCATGAATTTCAGAATGCTTTGCTCTTTCAAATACATTTTTTGTACATGATTTAAAGGTATATTTATAAGGATTAGATTTCTTTTCGGTAGAAAAGGCAAACACGTGTTTATTTATGTTTCTTTTTATAGATTTATACAATTTTGTATGTTTATATTACAGGAAGCAAGTAGTAGAAAATGTCAACAAAGCATAAACATGTAGTACTTAGATTTTCTTACAAATACTGTATTATATTGTGTAAAAGTTTGTGTTTTTTACGATATTTTATTTCATCTCGTGAACATTCTCACGACAGTCGTGATAATACCGTCTTTATTCTCTCGAGATGAAATAAAATTTCATCTAACACAAAAACAAACAAATATCCTCTA